TAAACATTGTTGGACCAATGACTCGTGCTAGACGCAAGAGGATGAATGAATCACTTAATAGTCTAATTACTACTACATGGGCTAAGGAGGAAATTAAGCTTGAAGATTACAAGCCCAAGACTATTAATTTGCTACAAGTGACACCAAATGGACATGGCCCATTTGGAGAGAAGAATTTCAGCCCTCAATCCACAAAGGGACCGCCGGCCACCTTTCCTCATGTTGGTCGAATTTCTCCCTAAAGTTTAGGGGTGAGATCATTCAAATTTTATCTCTTTGAAAGATAAGACTTTTATCTCTTTAAAGGATAATATTTGGGATGATTCTTTTTACTTGTTTTTCGAGTTTTCCTACAATAAGGAGTCAGCTTTTGATGTCTACACAACCGTTGGATGAAGACTACATCAAAATGGATGGCTAAGATCACTCTACAAAGAAGATGATGATAGAGTTTTAACTCAAGGGAGATTCTATCCATTGGAATCTTTCTAAGAGATTATCTCTTTGTATTTTGGAGTTTTAATTAATTCCTACAAGTCTTAAATGTTTTAAGACTAGTAAAAGTGTCTAGGTTCGTTATCTTATCACTTAAGATAACTAGGAGTCTTTAGAGTTTGATTTCATTCAGATTCTTAGAGATAGGAATAGAGGTGAAGAGTTGTGTTCTTCCTCTACTTCTAGGATAGAAATTTCGGCCACCCCTCTATATAAAGGGACCGAAATCCTCTTGTCCAACACCTTTTGGTCATTTGAAAACTTTCCTGAGTGAAATTGGTTAGGATTTTATTCCTTTCGTGGAGTTCTTGTGAGGACTTCTTTGTTTGATTGTTGCATATGTGTTGTGAAAATTGTTAGACTTATCTATCTTGTTTAGTTCGCTTGATAGTGGCGTCTATAGCATTGGATCTTTTGAATCTTCGTATTTGGGCTCATAGATCTCATATCTATTGGGTTTTCTTACACAATTTTCAAAAGGGTCTCTGCTTGGTTAGAATTAGCTCTCTTCATTTTTGATTTGGGTTTTTCTACCATTGAACTCGTGAATTGATCCACGTGAGGTCAAATAACTTTTCTTTTCTTTGTTTTTCGTGTGTTCTAGAGTCTTTAAATCCGAATTTCCAAATTCCGCTGCCTACAAATCTCTGACATTCCGAACTAGCAAAGTTGATCTTTTCTTAGAGATTGGTTTTGTTACGGATTGCTATCAAAGAAGCACAGTGCCAAAAAGAGTTCCAAGAGATGAATTTTATGCTAAATGAGCTTGCGCAAAGTGTTGAACGAATTAACCCAAGATTCCACCCCTTCACAAATCCCACCATAGAAATTTGGAATTTCAAGCTTTTACTTACCAACACACGCAGAATCCTTCATTGCATCCATTCGATAATTTGCCTCAATAAAATGTTGGATCAAATCTCATTGCATAGACTCGATCTCCTTGAAGATGCCCCTACTCAAACCTTCATGCTCTTGCTTAAGGTTTTGAAGCTCTTGTTCCACACAAAGCACCTTTTCGCTAAAGTTCACCAATTGCTTGTAGACAACCTCATCATGAACTCCAATGTCACCCACTTCAAAGCTCTTCAACAATGCTTCCAATTCTTTCACTTGCGCCTCAATGACACGGCATGGACAACACATCTTCGACTTAGCAATCTCTTCACTCATGATGATGAGCAAAAAATTACTTTCAACTAGAAAACTCTCTTGGATTTTTGATGATAAATCCCAGAACCCCCTCTCTAATCAAAGGAAGATTCAAAAATTGACGCTCCCCAACTAACTAGCAAAAACTCTCTTTCACCTTTTAAGAGGTGATCTCTCGAAAAGAAGAAGAAAAGAGATGGTTTAGTTACTCCTTCAAACTTAAGACCTTATGCAAACTTTAGCTCAAAGATCAAAAAGAAATTTGAAGGTTGGGATGTATGACAAATTCGACCAACACACACCTTTATATAGGCATGAGATGGCTTTTCCTACAAGGACTTTCCAATTAAAAATATGCTTAGCTATTAGGCAATTCTCCTATTTTAATAATTCAAAATTTCTCAATTAATAAAACCCTAATTATTTTCCAAGTTTTCAACCGAAAATAATGACACATATTCAGCCAAATCTTTTCAAAAACAGAAAATTTAATTTTAAAATACTTAATAAGTAAGAAAAAATAATTTTAAGAAACATACCCTTTTAAATATATTTTAGCCGAAAAGACACAAATAAAATCAAGTAACATATCTTAATAACTTTTAGAAAACTCCTTTGATTCCCCTCCTATTATATAGGCACTTAACAAATAAAACCAATTTTCTTTTGGTATTTCCAAAAAGGGAAAACACGGCACACACATATGTTCACACATAAGCAAAAATTTCTTTTCCCACTCAAAATAGGAATTAAAATTTCGGCCACTCCACAATTAAGTAACCCTCGAATTTTATTCAATTAAAATCAAGGCCAAAAACTTTTAGTTAAATACTAAAATCCCTCTTTCAATCATGTAATTGAAATTCAAAAATGCTAATCATGCATTCTAGCAAATTTATTTCATCTACCAAGTTCAAGAAACTCAACAAACGAAAACCACATAAATCACATAGACTCAAAAAATCTAAGACTTAATTTTCGAAAATATTTTGTTTAAAAACACTTAAAACAATATAATTAGATACTTTTAACACAAGTAATCTCCAAAGTACGTCATGGAAACTCTTATACGTGTAAACCCTAGAGTATAAACTCTAAAACTCATATCTCATTCATATGACTCAACAAGAATTAAATCACATAGTCACATGAAAAATAAACTCTTGAAAATTAAATTCCAAACCAATGAAAAATATAATCTCCACAAGAAAGGTCACGTTATTCTTGAAAAAGACTTCAAACAATTAATCACTAACCCAAAAGTTCAAAGAACACATTGATCTCTATAAGTTACCTTGCACACATATTGAATTTAAAACTGATTTGAAGTTATCTAAAAGTTTTAAATCAAACCACACAAAAGTCGACGAGCAACCCGTCAAGGAAGTCGATGAGAACACACAAAGTCGACAAGAAAGTTGACGAAGACACTTCACATAGCACATTAGGTCGAAACTACACTAATTGGACACAAGACTCAATCTAATAAAATCTAATAGCGGTTATGGACGTCTCATTGATTGACACATCACCAACCCTAGATTTTACTCTTCTCTAATTCATAAAGAACTAAAGTCAAGAAGGAAAGATCATCCCTTCCATACACTAAGTAGTATACTTTCATGAATATTCTACTTGTAAAATTCATAGATCATAAATTCAAAGAACCTAGACCTATACACACACACACACTTGCTCATGTATACATAATCTGTCTTAAAAAGGTAAGGCTATGCGCTTTCGCTTTTGGCATCAAACCCTAAATCAATTAATCATAGTACACATAAGTTCCGAATCACTTGATCATGAAGAAACCAATCTCCAATCTCAACCTCAAAGGAAATCTCGAGTGAAGCCCTCCTTGAATCAATTTTTACACAACTTCAACAAGACTCACTAATTTCTCAAAACCAAAACACTCAAAAATTCATCTTAAAGCAATATCTAGTTTTCGCACCAAATATTCAATAAAGAAGAACTTATGAAATTGTAATTTAAATCTAGTTTGATTTACTTTTCTCAAAACTCTTTTCGAAAACAAAAAGAACCTTAATCAAAATAAAAGATGGTCCCACCAATTCAAGCTCATTGCTAGGGTTTCCAACCATGTTCCAAAAGGAATCGGATATCTTCTCAACCTTTGTTTTGATACCAAAAACTGATAGCAATCTAGAAGATGAACCTAATTTTGTTAAAGGAACCATTATCGAGAAAGTACGAAAAAGATGTTTAAAAGTGAAACTCTTAAAGAGTGTAGAAATTCACAAATAAACTAGACCGTTGAAATAGAAACCTACTATCTTATGAACTCAAACAAAGCTCAAACAAAAAATCTTAATAATTACACAGATTGAATAACTTAATCTTATAAAATGATGAAACCCTTCAATATAATCGAAGAATCACCTATATAATTGACGATATATGCTATGAGCAAATCAGTCACTTAACTACAACAAACCAAACAAATATATATGCTATATTGGTAAGGACACTATCATAACCAGGTAATAAGAAATTAAAAACACATTATTCATCATGCTATTTCCATGCAAACTCATCTATATCAAATAGATAAATCAACAAGGTGTCCTACAACCCTAAGACACAAAGAACTCGAGAAAACCAAGCAATCAAACATGCTCAACCCATCGACCTTCATATCAAAAGATGATAACAAAAATTAGTTTTAAAATAATTAAATCATGCAACACATAAACATGATAAAACGGTTTAACTCAAAGAACCAAGTCAAAACGTGAGGGTCTAAGAAAGAACTAACCATTCTTCTCCTTCAAAACAATAAGATACACATTGTTTAAGAAAAATCACAAAGGGCTCAAATCAATTTATTTGATTCAATAACTCATAATTTCTTACACACATATTTGTGAAAGGATTCGGCCACCTTATATAGGCAAGCTCCCTTGCTCTCCAAGACAAAATCCCCACTATTTAGCCTTTACTTTAGACCAAAGAAACTATACTTTCCTTGTAGTACTCGATCCAATTCACAGAAAGCAAAGACATAGTCAATTTTGACTCAAACTCTAACTAAACTTAACCATCAAGCAAAGTAATTAACTTTACTTCTTTATTGGTAAAAGACTATTCTACCCTTAATGAAATACTCTCTAGGGCCGGCTATGCATTAATCATTAAACCCTAATTTATGAAAACCGTAGGACTCCCTCTCAGCTGCCCTATTGAAGTTACCTTTATGGTAAACTTTTTATTTTAACTCTAGGTAAATAGATTTATTATCTATTTATGGACTCAACAATAATTTAAATAAATATATTTAAATACTTCCCGCACAATTCTTCCTCTTCTTTTGATGTGCACGACTCCATTCAAATCTTCAACTTCAATTGATGTCTTCTACACAGTTGAATGTGTATCTTCAATCTCTTGAAGACGCTTACTCTTTGGAACAAACTCACTTGCATCAATCTCTTCGACATTACTTGAATCTTCATCACTTGAATTATTCCACTTACTAGGGAAATCACCACTTGACTCCTCAGACACTTGTTGATGATTAAGTGATTCTTCTTCAACCTCATTGTTCCCACTAGAGGCGTTGGTGAATACTCCTTCAAAGAAGGCCAAGTTCTCACAACTAACTTTCTTCTATTCTTAAAGGGAAACAACCTTGGACCACCAACTGACAAGAACACCTTTTGCTCCTTCAGAATCATAAACAATTAACACTGAGAGGTAGGTAATTCGGATTGTTCTGGGACTCTTTAATGGTAGCGAAGGGGAAGGTAGAGAATGAGAGCGTCTGATCAGACAATACTCATATGCTAAAAGAAGTACAATGGATCAAAAGAAAAACATATAGATAGGAAGGAGGATGACCCTACTGATTTCTCACTCTGTCAAGTGACTTGTCTCACTCTCCCATATGAGAATCTATTTAGTTTACTCGTTCTTGTTTGCACAGTAATTAGTTTATATTGATTTTCTGCCGTCTTTGTGAGTTGACCATACTTACTACTAGCTATTGATTTTGAGTAGGTCAATATTTCTTTTGGAGGTATCAACGACCGTCTACCAGAGGACCAACAGGAATCCGGGCATCTGTGTTCCTCAACAACCTCCTCCGAAACCTAGCAAAGCAGATCACTATGGGAAGCTGTTGAAGCAGCTTTGCAGATCAAAAGGAATCCTGCCCTATACTTGATGGAGACCATCTAGCTAACACTAATTACTACTATATGGGCTAAGGAGGAAATTAAGCTTGAAGATTACAAGCCCAAGACTATTAATTTGCTTCAAGTAACACCAAATGGACATGGCCCATTTGGAGAGAAGAATTTCGGCCCTCAATCCACAAGGGGACCGCCGGCCACCTTTCCTCATGTTGGTCGAATTTCTCCCTAAAGTTTAGGGGTGAGATCATTCAAATTTTATCTCTTTGAAAGATAAGACTTTTATCTCTTTAAAGGATAATATTTGGGATGATTCTTTTTACTTGTTTTTCGAGTTTTCCTACAATAAGGAGTCAGCTTTTTGATGTCTACTCAACCGTTGGATGAAGACTACATCAAAATGGATGGCTAAGATCACTCTACAAAGAAGATGATGATAGAGTTTTAACTCAAGGAGATTCTATCCATTGGAATCTTTCTAAGAGATTATCTCTTTGTATTTTGGAGTTTTAATTAATTCCTACAAGTCTTAAATGTTTTAAGACTAGTAAAAGTGTCTAGGTTCGTTATCTTATCACTTAAGATAACTAGGAGTCTTTAGAGTTTGATTTCATTCAGATTCTTAGAGATAGGAATAGAGGTGAAGAGTTGTGTTCTTCCTCTACTTCTAGGATAGAAATTTCGGCCACCCCTCTATATAAAGGGACCGAAATCCTCTTGTCCAACACCTTTTGGTCATTTTGATAATTTTCCTGAGTGAAATTGGTTAGGATTTTATTCCTTTTGTGGAGTTCTTGTGAGGACTTCTTTGTTTGATTGTTGCATATGTGTTGTGACAATTGTTAGACTTATCTATCCTGTTTAGTTCGCTTGATAGTGGCGTCTATAGCATTGGATCTTTTGAATCTTCGTATTTGGGCTCATAGATCTCATATCTATTGGGTTTTCTTACACAATTTTCAAAAGGGTCTCTGCTTGGTTAGAAATAGCTCTCTTCATTTTTGATTTGGGTTTTTCTACCATTGAACTCGTGAATTGATCCACGTGCGGTCAAATATCTTTTCTTTTCTTTGTTTTTCGTGTGTTCTAGAGTCTTTAAATCCGAATTTCCAAATTCCGCTGCCTACAAATCTCTGACTTTCCGAACTAGCAAGGTTGATCTTTTCTTAAAGATTGGTTTTGTTACGGATTGCTATCATAATTTTGGTATTCAGAGCCTTCTTATAGTTTTACCATAGTTGGCATATTTAGAGCCATAATTTGGTATATCAAGAGTCATCTTTGGTTACCATAATTGGTCTCAAAATTCGGATTTTTGTTCTTCTTGTTTCTTCCTCTCTTCGAATTTTCCTCTCCCAAAAGAGGGCAGTCGTAATATTTTGTTTTTGAGTTGTTCACCACTTGGACAATTCCTTTTAGTTTCGTGCCTTTCGTTTTGTTATCATCCAATAGCAAACTTTGGTGATTGTGATTGATATATATCTCTTGTTCCAAGATCTCTATATCTTGAGGGTGATTGATGTTCATTCATTGATTGTTGGAGGAGCTTTTGTGTTGAAGGTATTTGTTTGATTTGGCCGTACAAAAAAAAAAAAAAAAAATTTTGGTGTGAGTCTAGGGTTCTCGGCCGCCCCTACACAAAAAAAAAAAAAAAAAAACATAGCCGTACAAAAAAAAACGGCAGAGAAAAAAAAAAGAGAGAAAAAAAGAGTCTTCTTTGATTGGCTACATTAAAGGTTGCCTTGCATTGGGAGATTTCAAAAGAGTTGGAAGTGAAGTTGGAAAGAATCTTCTTGAAGAGGTATATTCAAAGTCTATCTCTATCTAAGAAGGTTAGATAAAGTTATGTTTGATTGGGAGTTTATCTTTGCTATTTAATTGCCTATATTCTCTCAAAAGATAAGATTCTCTTCAAATCTTATCCTTATCTTATCCTATTGGATAAAACCTTATCCTATCTTATTGGATAAAACCTTATCCTTATCTCATCTTATAAAAGATAAGATTCTCTTTAAATCTTATCCTTATCTTATCTTGTAAAAGATAAAATTTTATCCTAATCTTATCTTCTTGGATAAACCTTATCCTTATCCTATTGGATAAAATCTTATCCTTATCTCATCTTGTAAAGATAAGATTCTCTTTAAAGCTTATCCTTATCTTATCTTGTATAAGATAAGATTATCATAAAATCTTATCCTTATCCTATAAGAGTTTGAGTTTGAATTGGAGTCTGAGATATCATTTGAGTTTGCTTATACTTCTAAAGCGAGATCCTAAATTTTCTCCAAACACTCGAACGAGATTCGTGTTCTCCCTCGTTCTTTTCTGGAATTTCCCTAAATTTACTCTACGTGCTATTTGACTTTGTCTGCTTTTGAGTGTTTTATTCGAGTGGATTGTTTAATTAATTGTTGTGGTGCATACTGCTACTACTTGAACATTGAAGCCGATCTGGAACTTTACCAAAGGACTTGAGTGGTAAAAGGCTTGAGTGTTTTCTTTCTATTCCACTTTGATATTGGGGAAAAAGCCAAATAAATCCCAAAGAGAGCATACAAAAGGTGAGTTATGTGTGATACTACCAAAAGGGGGGAAAAGTAAAAGATCATTGGTTAGGGGAAGTGAGGTAGGAACATTTTCTACTAACATCCTATATATTCGTTTGTTCTTTGATCTTAAAGGATGTCATCTGGAGATGATAGTGAACAAAGAGACGACCGTTCTCAAGATGCTATGCGAGAAACTCTTGCTAGATTGTATAATGTTACTACTCAATTATGTAGTAGAATACAAGATCTAGAACTAGAGGTTCGTAATGGTCGCGCTCAAGGTAATGAAGGTAATGAAAATCGTAATAGAGCTCATCGTGTTGTCAATAGGAATGATCCTTATGAACTTGGTAATTTCAAAGTTAAAATTCCTGAATTTAGTGGTACTAATGACCCTGAAGCCTATCTTACATGGGAAAAGAAGGTAGAGCGTGCTTTTTCATTGCAGGATTATGATGATTCTAAGAAGATTAAAATGGCCGTTTACCAATTCAATAACTATGCTTCAGAATGGTGGGACCAAGTTGTCAAGGATAGGAAGCTCTATGATGAGGATCCCGTGTCCACATGGGATGAAATGAAAAGACTCATGCGCAAAAGGTTTGTTCCCTCTTATTATTATCGAGATTTGTGTAAACAAATTCCAAGTCTTTCACAGGGAACCAAGTCTGTTGATGAGTACTATCAAGAGTTAGAGTTGGCATTGATACGTGCAAATATTAAAGAGGAGCCTGAAGCTATGATGGCGAGGTTTCTAGGAGGACTTAACAAAAACATTGCCGATGTTGTGGAACTTTCACACTACCTAGATCCAACTAAGATGTTACACAAAGCTAGGATTGTGGAGAGACAATTGGCAAAGAAGAAGTCAGATTCACATAAGTCTTCTACACCATGGAAGAAAGATGATTCAAAGAAGTATGGTAATTCGTCAAAGATTGAGAAGGGAAGTAGTTCTAACGCTTCTAATACTTCTAATATTCCTAAACCATCTTCTAATGTTAAGAATTCTACTTCATCTAGTAATACTAACAAAGTCAGAACTAGAGATGTTACTTGTTTCAAATGTCAGGGACGAGGACATATAGCTTCTGCTTGTCCAACTTTAAAGACTATGATCCTTAAAGAGGATGGAAGTTTCGAAAGTGAAACAGATGAAGAAGATGACAAAATGCCAAGGCTTGTTGAGAAAGTTGAAAAAGAAGTTGTAGAGATTGATGCTGAGGCTGGACAAGTGTTTGTCAACCTTCGAGCATTACAAACTCAAGTAGCTGAAGATGATCAGCAGAGACACAATATTTTCCATACTAAGTGTCGAGTTATGGACAAGGTATGCTTAACTATTATAGATCCAGGATCTTGTACTAATGTTGCTAGTTCATATCTTGTAGATAATCTGAAGTTACCTACTATCAAGCATCCGACACCCTATCGGTTACAATGGTTGAATGATTGTGGTAATCTTAGAGTCACTAGGCAAGTGAATGTGCCATTCTCTATTGGAAAATATGAGGATGAAGTACTTTGTGATGTGGTACCTATGGAGGCAAGCCACCTACTTTTAGGACGACCATGGGGGTATGATCGAAGAGTAAAGCATGATGAATACACAAACAAGTATTCGTTTGTAATGAATGGTCATAGCTATACCCTGAAACCTCTTTCACCTCCTCAAGTTCAAGAATGTAATCTGAGAATGATGCGAGAAAGAGAGAAACGAATGAAAGAGCAGAGTCCTAAAGATGAATCTACTTTGGACGTTCCAAAGAGATCTTCAAATGATCTACAAATTCGAGAACCAGTGGGCAACAATTTCTTCGCTAGTCCCAAATCGGTGGAGAAGTGTTTTGCAAAAGG